AACTGAGAGCATATTGGAACATTGTTAAATGAGTGGAGGAGCGCAACATGTGATACAATTTTTAGGATTAAATGGGCGCAAATTTGTCATCTAGTCAGGAACACTTATTTCTCAGCCTGCTCTGAAGGTAATATTATAATTTATAACTTTTATTAGGGTTAATTTTAGGTTATGGGTACCGTTATTTTTTCCATACATTTATTCAAAATAATTTTAATAGGTACCAACTACCAATTAAATCCAAATACGAATACACGCGGTTAATTATGTTCATTGCATATTACAGGTTATAAGCAATTTAAATGATAGGTAATACTTATATATGTATAATTTAGCAATTATAATAKTATATAGGCAGTAGGTCAGTAGGCGCATTTTCATGTGAATAAATGATAATAGCTAAATTCATAAGTGCTTATATTAAAGGTTGTACGGCTATACCGCTATGGGTTAGTATATGGTAAATAGTAATGAAAGGACGCGGATCTAGCTGAATTTGTAATTTGTTTTCTACTGCTCAAATTTATTGCTAAGTGCCTGCGTTTGAAATGCATGTCGTGTAAAAACAAACCAAAATCTAAAAGTTTGWAGGGAATTTTTTGGAATTTTATTGCAATTTCCTAGAATTTTCTTATTTATAGGCACAAATATTTTAGTGATTATAGTCGATCCTCGACCGCCGTGTTAATGTGTTATAGATAAGATTATACTTTAATATCGCTCATGATGTTTTTAACCGGAATTATTATTCAACTTCAGCTGATTTAGTATTTATTAACTCGAATTACTGATTTTTGCTGGACGCRAATATAAAATTAGAAAATCAAGGACTTATGGTAGTTGAAGCCGTTGGGGTGATTAAAAAAGTTAAAAATAAATTAGATGATATATTTTGYACAATTAGAATTTCAGTCCATTAAAATTTAAGAAAATTATTGAAAAGATTTCCGGATTTGAAATCAATGATAATCAAATATTGAACAAGAAAAACTGTTCGATATAAGTTTACCCGAAGACTWGACAGTAAGCGATAGGTATAGCCTATTTTAAATACGTTCCACTTATGATTTATCCCTAGAAAATGATCGATTTCGAAAATTAAAAATTAACACTTATAGTGCAAATAGTGCAATACAGTGATAATTATATTATATGATTATAATATAATATTGTAAGTAATAAAATATATATATATAT